CGAAAAGAAGGTGAAAAAAAAGTTGAGATGAATGCGAAATTTAATTAACATAAAATTCAAAAAGTGTATAGTTTGTATTTGAATGTTCACCCAATTTCCTAAAAAAATAAGAGAAACTCATAGTAATCGAACTTCTTGGTGTAGATAACTGGCGTTCTAATAGTTTAGCACATGTTCTACTGCAAAAACGATCTCCTTTATATTAGTTTTTGGTTACTGGAAAACTTTACGCCAACCTAAGCAATTATGCTCTCTATTTCTAATAAAAAAATATATTTAAAAAACATATATTGTAAAGCAACTCTATACTAGGAAAGAACTTTTACTTATTTTCCGCGAAGTGCTAAGTAAATATTATGACATACCATACATATTTTATACACAACCATCATATTTGCAAATAATAAATAGTTTATTATTTGCAATGTCTTTTATTTAAATTACAATTGAAGATTTAATGAGAAAATGTCTACCTGTGTTTTTTCATATGGTCCGCAATATGAGAATCGAGCGTAAATTTCATAAGCTATGCGATATACCGAAGTACACTTTCCAATCTGTAAACACCCTTACGACCATGAATATGTTAAGCGTGTGAAACGTGACTTTTGAGAAAGCTTATTTTTTTCCTTCTTTATAACCTTCACAGTTTGATAGGAATAGATGCAAGGTAGTAATAATGAGGTTCATTTACTTATTTATTTTATATTATACAGAGTGTTTTATTGAAAAAGAACCATACGGACTGAATCAAATTTCACCAAACATAATCTCGCTATTTTGGAATTAAGTAATGAAGTAGGCTTTTGAAGTAAGGTGTGCTATCCATGCTCAGAATTTAAGGATCAAAGGTTTTTGCAGCATTGGTTATTTGGCGAAACGTTAACTGATTATTTATTTACTACAATTTAAGAAATTCCAGATTTAGCGCTGGAATTTTCCTATAGTTACACTAATTAATCTTAAGGAATTTGCTACTTCAGCGCTTATAGTATAATTATAGGTCTATAATTCGCAAGCAAGTCTTGGTTTTTTTTCAGGACGAGGTTAAAGAGTAGACGTGCAAGGGCATCGCCCGCCAGACCAACCATTTCCGAAGTAAACGTTTGAGAAATATCCTTCAGGATTCCTATTATATTCTACATCTGCCATGTACATCTTTATCAGTCCGATAAGCTTAGGTATCAAATCATTTATTGATATTAACCGCTGTCCTAGTAAATCAGTATAGATGCATTGTTATATTCAACATCATAATTTATAATTTATCAAATAACAAAATAAAATTACTCAGAAAAAATGTTTCGTCATAAGCCGATTGAAGAAACTTTGTAAATATTTAAAGTAGACTCCTGAAAAATCAATTACCAAAAAATCAGTTACCAATTCCTATTTCAAGATTCAAAACTCCACTTCAAATAAAAGTCATTGGAAAGTCCCAAAAAATTGGGACGTTTGAAAAGTGAAATGGTTCCAAAATTAAAGAGATCAAGACGGAACAAAATATGTTATACAGTTCTTCATAACCTAAAATGTACCAGATTCGAGTTAAAACGCAATTTTGAAGAAACCATCTTGGATGATATGGTTGCCATTGGATACTTATTTTTACAGTTTAAGTTTTAAAAATTTTTATCTTTATAATTGTGTTCGATGAACGTGAAATCCGTTGAACAGATAAAAATAGAACAACTATAAGGCTATTTGGGCACTTCGGATATTATAGAATGAAACTTTACTGATTATGCGATGAGAATGAAAGAAATAGAATCTTCCTCCAACAGCTTTTCTTTATTACCAACCGAATATTCAAAAGTCCAAATACGAATTTCAGGTCGTAGCCGTCAGATAACAATACAAAACAATTAATGAAACATAGAGAAAAAAAAAATGCCTCGTTGGCCAACACAAAAACTATTACAATTGGTGAGAGACTGCTAACGGATTTGTCACTGACTAATATGAGAAATACTATTGCAGAATAATTATTAAAAAAATTAACGATAAACAAAAAAAAAAAAAAAACATTTTAATAAACATAGAAAGAAGAAAAAAAAAATCAAATGTAGGCGACAGTGACAAATTCATTCAAACCACTTTGCTCACGTCAGCTGTTATAACCTGTTATATATGAGCCTTTCAGACTGAATATTTTATTATTATAGTCCGTGGTACAGGCCCCTTTTTATTGAATTATTTCATAGTTTCATATCATCGATACCTACAACTATTTTATTTACGAAAACTGTTGGAATTGGTGCGTTTTAAATCTGAAGGGGGACAAAATTTGTCAATTTAATTAGGTAATAAAAACTCGTAAATACCCATTTGATTTCCACATGAATCGTAAGATACTGTGATCACAAAATCGATAAAAAAGGTGGTCTACAAAAACATTGGGCCGTTTGTCCTATATAACCTCGTTATTTTGACAATTTGGGAGTGTAGGTCACGCCAAACGACCCAATATTTTTGAAGGCCACCTTTTTTTTCGATTTTGTGATCATCTTATCTAACGACTCTGGTGGAAAGCAAATGGATATTTACGAGTTCTTAGTATCTAAATAAATAGTTTGCCCCTCCCTCTCCAGAATAAAAACGTCCCTATTCCGGGAATTTTCACAAATAAAATATTTGTAGGTTAATATGATATGAAGCTATTTACGAAGTTTCAGGCGGATGTTAATAATTTGATAAAAAGGGTTCTGTACCACGGACTAGATATACATGTACGAACAAACAGGTTTTGCTGATGTCATTTATACGCTGAATGTATAATACAGGATAGCAATCTGATGAGAGAGTTATCAGAAATATTTTGTTTAATTGCTAAGTTTAAACTAGTTTAATTTCAATTATGGATTATATGATGTTAATAGTAAAAACATATAAATCCAATCAATAAATAATCCAATCCAATTAATAAACGTAAACCTGCAGGATACCAGAGTTGATAAAACTACCTACCAGTACAGGCCCGTCTGTTATGCGGAATGGTATACCTCACGGAATCAACTGAAACAGTGTTTTTGTCCCAACGCCGTTGCGATTTATAAACAACACATTTTAATATGGAGTTAAATAATATCATTCTATTCAACCAATTTATCCGTGATTAAACTTACACCACAAAGGCTTGTACAAGAGATAGAAGTACAATTGCAGACTTCGCAGTAGCAAGCCTTGAAATGTCCAAGTTTCCTCAGCATCGATATTGAGGAATGAGAAATATAACTCACCTTAAGGGCGATCATGACCAGGAACCAGTTCTCTAATTTGAAGAATGGGCTAAATAACCTTATCCAACCTCAATCCGGAACACGTAGAACTGAAATGGGTCATACAATGCTTTTGATAATCTCAATATGGCCCCAATGTTTAAACTTAATGCTTCATAAATGGAGTGGCAATGACCAGACAATACAATACCTATCTCTAATACCTACTATCATAGTTAAGAAAACTCAAAAGATGTAATAATGTTTATATTCTCAATGACTTTAATGACGTAAAATAATTTTTTGTTCGACCATAATTTTGTTTGATTATTCCGTGCTAAAGTCAGGTATGTTGTATTTTAACAATTAATTTAGAGGCCTCACACCTGTCATTTTTAAGAAGTTGAGAAAAAGCCAATTTTCGTGTCTTAGTTTAAATTTAAACCAATTACAATGATTTCTTTTTTTGTATGATTTAACTTGAACATTCTTAAATAAAATCATCAGAAACAGTTCCAATTGAAGCTATAAAAATTGAGAATTTCTCCACTTTCTAAAAATAAGAGATGTCAGTCTTTGATTTGAGAACACTCAATTATCAATTTTCCATTTTTTGTTTAAGGTTGATTATAACACATTTATTCTTCATCGTGAACATATGACTTCAAGTCTATATTATCCTTTAATAATATCCCACTTCTACAGAATAAATTCTCTACCTAGGACTCCATCTGGAAAAACGCATTAATTGAAATCCTCAAACGAGAATGAAACGACAAGAAACTGTTAGAACTTTCCGGGAACTTTGACAATTACTAGACGCTTTACACTTTCAATTAATTGCAAGAGACTCATTTACTTGACTATAATAAGACCTATTTGGACAGACGGAGTTCAGCTTTGGGGTACTAAACCATCCAATTTTCCTCTTCCGAATCCATTCCTCACAATCCGAAATCCTTCAAAAAATCCTCAACGTTCCTTACAGCGTCACACATAAAATTATCCAAAGTGGCCTTATTGTTTTAAATTTACAGCCGATTTAACCCAATCCAGATACCTATCCTTCCATAGTAAACTTCAAGTACATCCAAACCCACTAGTTGCATCTCCATGCATCTACCTAACCTTGCATCTTCTACGATTCCTGACAACCCTCTTAGGCGTCTGTAAAGAAAAGAATATGACTTCGGGACCTTCTAATATAAAACTATTGTCGGAGTGTTACAAACGTGCAGTTCTCTACAAGTCTGTCCATGTCATAACACCAATTCAAATCTACTTTTATTTTCAGTCAATGCAGTTGTAAATTTCAATAAATATATTTATTGAATTTATTATATAATTATTTAAGCAGTGTTATCGCTAACCAATGCAAATTATACATTATTAATAGAATTTACAATATCGTACTAAACACTATATGAAGAACAAGAAATTTAACGCAGAATTTACAAATTCATTGTAAGTAAATTAAGACATATGGTCTTGTTCCTATACTATTCAATTTGAATAGGAGCTAAAGTTCCAGAAAGAATTCTTGAAAGGATATACACGAGATAGAGGATTTTTATCATTTATCCTAATGCAAAATAAATGTGTGCTATATCAGTAAGTTCTTGGTCTCCAAATCAGGGGAGACAGGGTAAACAATACTTATCCACAAGTGCATAGTGGCAAGTCTTCGTTAAAGTATATGATGGTGTAGATGTTTACTCCAGAGGAGCCTGGACCTGCAAGGAGTGGGGTCAACGTCCCTCCCACTGGAACCCAGTCAGCAGCGGTCTTCGCTAGTGTACAGAGTGCGTTCGTCCTGGCATGTCTTCCGGGAGACTTTAACGTTCGACATCTTACAAAGGATCCTCTGGAACCACCTTATTGTAAGTCCTTGGAATTTTTCATTAATTTGTATAATTAATTTTCAGTAAAATTGGGTTTCGCAAATGTCGACTTAATGATAAAAAAAAAAAAATGTAGCCAGTGAGAATTTATTTTTTGTTTATTATCAACCAGTAAAAAATTAAAATTAAATTTAAACGTATTTTTATTTAAATTTTTCAGTATCATGTACCAAAAAAGAAAGAATTGTGATCAAATGAGAATTATCTAATTAACATGAAGGGATACAGTAAAAATTCATTGATTGAGTCTAATGTTATAATATTTAAATATTTACAAATCATTTTAATATTCAAATATCTAAAATTTTACATACACGGAAAACGTGTAAAAATTCCTTAAATAATTATAAATTTAAAATTATTTCTGTATTAAACTGGGAATGCATTTACTAGGCTCGATAAGTATCTAAGAAAAACGAAATTCACATCATTCACCACAATGATAAAAACCATAAAAATACATATTATTGTGGCTTAGTATCACTATTATTTCAAAGGATTTTAATCATTAATTTGTAAAAATAAAAAATAATCTTATATTACAAACCTTTAGCATATTTAAGAAACATGAGCATCGAGGTGTCACAATTCAATATAATTAACAATAATCAAATTATCCTTTGCATAGATAATCTTATCGCTTAATGTGAAATAAACGATAACCTTATCAAATGGTTTCCAATTTCAACAAATATAAGATAATGTTATAAAAAATAACGGAGAAGTACAGACCAGGTGACTGCATAGATACTAAATTCATAAGGCAGTAGAGAGAACAATGAAACTGAACTTCCTTCCTCAGAAGAATAAGGAGGCAGCATAGGAACTTCCTACCTACGTGACTCGAAAAATAAATGACATGATTATAATAGCTATTAATAGTTTATAACAGTAATAAAATGTGCCAAAAAAAAGAAAGATCATAAAATCAAACTCCATTATTTAAAAAAAAGAAAAGCAAAATTAAAGTTATTCCTATATTATGATTTTCCAACATAAAAACGGAAAGGTACAGAATAAATCAACATTGTTTATCAATTTTTTTTAAGCTCCACTTTTGAGCTTGAACGACTTTAAAATTGCAATACTTTCGAACTATTTTTATTTTCAGAAGCTCCAATAACCATAGCTTATACTTCACAACGACATATACCCTTTAATACAATATTGTATCATATGAAAAAATCAATATTGGGAGAGTGAGAGATGGCAATAATAAAATGTGAAACATAAGAATAATCAGATTGGAACAAAAACTTTATTTGCCAAGTGAAAACATGGTTAAATTTGCAATATGTATTTATGATTATCCATTTCGATTTTCTTAACCTTCAAGTAAAAAAAAATAAGTTTTTCATTACGCAACAAACAAATCAAATTAATTGTTTTAATACGGTAGACCAATTTTCCCAAAAGTCTAATTTCTTTGAGGTAACTAATGATTTATTTATTTTGTCTGATACATTGAAACAATAGAAGTTATAAAGAACATGTTCATATGTTTCTTAAAATAATTGTTTTGATTTCAAGGTGAACATTTTCACTAATCAATATTACTTTCTTTTTTGATTCAAGCTTCCAGTGATTCAATTGAATAAATGTGTTCTGCGTCACTATTTTGGGAGAATGTAACTAATATAAATATTTATTTAAACTTTTTTCTGAGTGTGTTTCAATATTGATAATAATTTATTTTTAGAGGTATGGTAACCACAAAATTAGGCGTATCTTAAAGTTATATCTACAAAATAGGACTCATTACAGCAGTGGTGATACGTAAACTAATAAATTCATTACTTATTCATCGTTTATTTAACTTTTTTTTTCTAATAGAATTAATCCGAATACAGTTTTTTTTTTCTAATTTTAAATAGAATATTTATTTTTAAATGTATCAATGCTGTAAACATCCTTTACGTTCTCACATTCGGGAAGCATAAAATGAACATTGGATGTAACTGCAGAACAAGACTTCCTCTAGAATCTGGATGGAAAGTGTTATACAGCTTCTGAGGTTCGTTCTAGTAGCGAACGGGAACAGTTTTAAATCATGTAACAGCGATCGTAAAAAACAACCGAAAAAACTCAACAAGATAAATTGTTCGGCACAGTAACAGAAACTCTAGAAGACAAATTAATATCATTTTGTAACCGTAAAACGGAATCCGTGCAACGTTTAGTTCTCAAAGATAAGGTCTACGCAATCACTAAACCACAGTTAAGATCAATTTAAATGTATCATAATTCGGTAAAAAAGACTAAGCATTTTTTAACTATCTACATTTTTTATGGGATTGGTAATTATTCAATTAACATCAACTACTCAAGCACTATGTTAGTATATATCAATATTTCAGCACTTAAATAATATAAAATTTGCCTGCAAAGGTTAATTAAGTATCAACTTGAGGGAAATATTGCAAATAAAACAGTAATAATATAAATAGAAAGTAACCTCTTATCTCTCATTATCAATTAATATTTTTTATCTAAGAACTTTATTGATAAAAAGATAACGAAACTCACAGAAAAAGAACCAATAAGATTTCCGTGAAAAAAATCTTTTTTTATTCTTTTTTTTTTTTAATAATTAATCTTACATTTGAGATTTTAGACACCTTAAAATAATACAGTAACAACTTCATTATAATTAACAAACATGAAGCTTACACAACAAACTCGGAACCAATGATATATATAAAATCTTAAAGATTTTTGTTTATTTATTTATATACCAACAAACATTTAACAGATTTAATTTTGAAGCATAAATTAATGATTTAAATATAATATATTATATCTTAATGATAATTTAGGTATCTTTATTTACGTTTTACATATGTTTTTAAATATATAAGATTTACCAGAACCAATGGTCATTCGTTAATTTGCTACAATCATTTTGAAATAAGATATTAGATAAAATATATTGTGTTCTAGGCATATATATATATATATATATATATATATATATATATATATTTTTTTTTTTTTTTTTCTTTCTTTTTGGTAGGCGCTACAGACCATATATATGATATTTACCTATTTATTATTATTGTTTTATTTTTTTCTTTCTTAGTCATATAGAGGTGTTATAATAATAAGAAAACAAATTCCACGAATTAATCGTTTAATTCTTCAACTGATATAATGACTTCAATTTTGTTAAAGTTTCGAACTGTTTTCGTTCATTGTTAAGCCATATTTTTTTTTTTTTTTTACTTTCACTATCTATGTGAATTATAAACAGTAAGGGAAAGTATGGCGATTGTGAAAATTTCAAATCGAATTTTTCAACATAAATACATATCATCCAATATTATTCAAATTACATTAAATTAAGGAGTTTAAATAACCACGATCCGCAAAATTTTCTGTGTTATTAGAACATATTATACATAACAGTATCTATCTATTTAATTTAAAAATAAATTCTCAATTTTAATATAGGAGATAATATGCATAATATGAATTATAAATAGTAATGGAAAGTATTGCGATTGTGAAAATTCCAAATCGAATTTTTCAACATAAATACATATTATCCAATATTATTCAAATTACATAATTTTAAGGAGTTTAAATAGCCACGATCCGCAAAATTGTCTGTGTTATTAGAACATATTATACATAACAGTATCTGTCTATTTACTTTAAAATTAAATTGTCAATTTTAATATAGGAGATAATATGCACGCACTAAAATGAATGTCTATTATGACGTTATGATAAACATTTTTTAAAAAAGACTGAGTGTTTGTGAAGTCACAAGAAGAATGAAAAGTAAAGGTTGTAGGAAACAAAGATTACTTACTTAAGATATGTATATGCTCGGATGTTACAGCAACTTCTTCACATATATCGACTTTCTGATAGAGAATGATAGTGTAACTTAAACGTTGTCAGTTAGAAATAATAGTTAATTTAATTTTTTTATTTTGTATAATTTATTGTTGGTCGCATGTGTAAATCTATTGCTAAGCAGATTATGGTTTTGGCTTAAAGTACATTATTGAAAAACTCGATTTTAGAAAAAAAATTAAGATAAACTTTGGTATTTATTTTAAAATACGAATAGAGAAACATATATTGGCAAGACCTTAATTAGTTTCGGAAATCTTTATATTCCTTTCGAGAAAAAAAACCAACCTAAAAAAAGATTTATCCTTAGCTGCTCAAACAAACGAAACATTAGAATAAAGTAATTCATTTAAAACAAATTATAACTCTAACCTAAATCCAATTAATGTTTCTTTCTCATTTAACGAAAATTTTTTTCACGAATTCATTCATTTATTTATATGGTTATTTTTTGGGTGCCTTATGCAATTATACAGGTTAGATGGACCTTATTAAAATTTCATTACAATACATCTAAAGAAATTGCGTTGTTTTACACGTGTTTATTTTGTTAAGACATTTTTATTTGTTTTGTTACAACTGTATAGGTCATAAACTTTCATCATAAACCTGGAACATTATTTTTAAAAAATTGCTTAGAAATGTTCTTTTCAGACGCCTCGAAGGATTATCAGGAATTAAAGAGGGAGCAAGGTCAGAAACGAGAGGGTTGGGATGATTCTGAAGTTTACTATGGAAGGATAGGTATCTGGATTGGGCCAGATCTGAAATATTAGAGTCATTTATGGATGGTCTTATTTGTGACAAAGTAGGGAGCATTGAGGATTTTACGAAGGATTTTGGATTGTAAGGATTGAATACGAGAGGAATTTGATGGTTTAGAGGAGCCCCATAGCCCAAATCCATAAGTCCAATATAGTTCTTATATGAGGCCTTATTATAGTCATGTATATGAGTCTTTTGTAATTAATTGTAAGTTAAGAGCGTTTGTCTAGTAAATGCTGAAGTAGTCGGATACGTCGAGCGGTTTCTTGTCGTTTCAGTCTGGTATGCGGATTCCAAGTTGGACGTTTGTGGAGTCCAACAGGTAGCTAACCAATTTAATTAAATTATTTATA